CTTTGATATTTTCTTTTTCCTTCTCTCTCTTCCTATACACCTTCCCAATCTAGCCATTTTTTCATCTCTTTCAAACTGTAAAATTATTTTCAACATTTTTATTTTTCATTAATCAGCTATTAATTTTCAATTTTTCTCACATTTCCAACTTGATATATCAAAATCACTAATTTCAAATGACAAATTTTTATCTCTACTTACTCAAAATGACATCAATTAAACCATTTACTACCCAATATTATTGAAGTCTACTTAAAATTAACAACAAAATAACATTAGAAGTAGTCATTTTTTATGTGACCTTTTACAATATATTCCTAGCTCTCCACAACATCTTTTGTTACAACTCATACTCCTTTACCACCCCTCTTTGTTGTAAGTCCTGAGTATGATGATAAGCTACATCCAGCAGCCAGGCCTCTGATCAGGAAATTGGAAGTTTTGAGGAATGTGGAACCACCTCTTAATTGCTGTTGTTTCCACTGTAGATCCTTTTCAAGAGTAGTTGCCAAGTTTACTTTGTCGGATCTTACAGATTTGCAACTAACGCAGGAATAAACAGTAGTATCCTCTGCATACATACTTAATTGGGAACTGATGACATCAGGAATATCATTGATGAAGATCAAAAACAGCATAAGTGCAAAGATAGAGTCCTGGGGAACCCCCGCATGAGTATGAAATGATCTGAAAGCATGCTCATTCAATATGACCTTTATTACTCAATTGGTTAGGAATGACTGAATTAAGTCAAATATGCATCCAATGACATCATAGCCTGAAATAATTTTAGTAATTATGTAGCATTGTTTTATTTTTCATTAATTTAAGAAATATTTGTCCAATGCTAGCTGCATTAATATTTTGGAATGAAGGGAGGACAAAGTATGTGAGAGAAGGGAAAGAGAAGAGGGCTGTAAATATAGGTTTCTGGTTACCCTCCTCTAGCCACTAGTCAGGGATAAGGAAATTTATTCCAACCATAAAAAAAGTATGTGCACCATTACCTACCACCCTCTTTCCAAGCCACCAAGACAGCTTGATTCTTTTGACCAAAACAGTTTGCTCTAACACAAGTTCACTTTTTGCTTTTGAATATGCCTGCTGTTTTCCTTTTTAATTTAATTTTTCCTTTTCCCTCTCTTGAGTAATATTTTACCATTATTATCATAATTTATTACTATTAGTATTATTTGTTACTGTTCAAATGTACATATTACATTAGCATTGTTTTATTTTTTATTAATTTAAGAAATAAATCTGTGTTAATGAATTGGATTTGCAATCTGACTGCCCATCTCAACAAAAGAATAATCAGTTAAAGAATCACAAAACTAAATTAATTATCCACTTGATTTTAAATTAATGGGTGGTATCAACAACTTTATAGAATAATAGAAGCTGCACTGACACTGTAACAACAATCCCAAAACTCCAAGTAATGGTTTGATATATAATTGAATTTAAATAAAAATTAGCCAACTGGCCATCTCCTGGTGTACTGGACATTAGGCATTTTGAAAATAAGTTATCTAAGAAGATACTTAACTTGAAATGCTGAATTCCAGGATTTGTTCACAGTCATCTCATACTCATATGACAAGAGTACTTTTAATTTCACACCTGAATTTATCCAAGTCCTGGATACTTTGTCTTACTAAGCTAAAATTTAACAGACAATTTTTGTGTTGTTGTGTTTTACATTTTTTTTTGTTATTGTTTTTTTTTTAATAGTTGTAGATAGGTCTACCTATCAACCAGTCCATATTAACCCTTATTCCTGTTTTAAGGTGGGGTTTCTGGTTTCCTTCTTCCGAGGCCTTAATATGAGTGGCTGTCATGAATTTTGGTGATATGAGTGGATGGTGACAACTCCTTATACTGAGGATATGCTAGCAGTTTTCTGGTTGCTGCTTCCCAACTGGTAGTTTGGAGCCCAAACTCTAGAAAGACTGCTCTGATCAACTGTTGTATAATATCTGCATTCTTTAGTGCCATGTTGTGTGTGTAAAAGTGTCCCTGCAAGTACTTTCAATGCACAATCCTGAAGCCATATTATCCTGCAGTCTGTGCTAATTCCCAGCTAGCACATTCTTGCCATATTTCTGACCTAATTCTGCTACAAGCTCTATTCTTAATGATTAGTTATATGGTTCATCAAACTGATTGTCTGGTGGGGGTGCATTCATTTGGACCTACTTTCTTTAGTAACATTATTGATCCCAAAATCATGTAAAGCTGTCAACATCTTTACAACAATCTCATTTAGTCCTGCTGCTTTGTTGTTCTTCATTTCAGACAATGCTGATTTAACCTCTGATTTTAATATTATGGGTCTTTTTTATCATCAAAGAATTCAATCTTTTATATATGCATTAAATCTTACTCAGTAAAATTACAAATAGAATAAATAAGCTTACCAACATATGCAGATCCAGCAGTTATGTTTCCATCAATAACTTGGCCCAGACCAGATGAGGTTCGTTCATACAAGGCCATCATAATGCCAAGAGCACACATTAAGCCTCCGCCCGCAAAATCTGCCAAAAGATTAATCGGTGGAAATGGACAACTACCTGTATGTCCCAGAGTGGAGAGAATACCTGCAGAACAAAATAAAAATTTAATTGCTCTTGGGACAAAATGAAACCAATGAGCAATGACCTTTGCAGAAACAATGACAAACTATTTGTAAGTTTAAATATACAATGTCTTACATTATCAGCTCATATTTAAAATGGATTGATTTGATGGATAAGTGAAAAGTTTAATAACTTTTGAGTTTGTGAAAGGTAAAATAATGCCGATAACTGCAAAAATGTATTGAATATACTGAATGATTCTGATGCAGGTCTGATAATGGCAAGTTGAGAAATTTATCTCTGCAATTTTTATCCTGGATAAAGAGAAAAGTTATAAAAAGTCCATCTTTGTCAACCTATGAAATTTTTAGGTCTTGTTGTTGGCCTCCTTTAAAAGACACCCATATAGAAAATTGAATGAAATGCGTAACAAAAACAGAATGAAGACTGATTTTTCTTTTCCCTGTCAAATGCTCTGCTATCCTCAATGAACCAGAAAGATGGAACAAGTAAAACTTGACCATTGAAAAGGAGATTTTTATATATATATATATATATATATATATATATATCAGTTTTATGTTTGTAATGAAAAACAAACACGGTAGGAGCTTTACTTGAAGATTTATTCAATTATCACTCAACTCAGACAACAGGGTGGAGCTTATTCCTTTCATCACTGGTCCAGGGGGAGGCAACTATGGTTTAGTATGCATAATTTGCATAGGCAGAAGTGAACAGTCTTATAAGTGGTCACTGAGAATAACCACTAGCAGTTAGAGTCTAGCGACTGATTAGTGCTAACCTCTACTTCACAACAATGGCGTCGCCGATAGGATTTCAATTGTCTCTGGAAGATCCAGAATTTGTCGATACTTGGATTCGTTGCTTCTCTGCCACTGCGAGAACAAAAAAGTTGAAAGACAACAAGGAAAAGGGAGGCGAAAATGAAATCACGGATTTATTTTTGGCTACAGCTGGATGCGAGGCGGTAATGAAAGTCTCCACCATGGCATATCCCTTAAATTTGGAAGACCTGACTTTCGAAAAAATAAGTCAGATTATAAAAAAAATATGAGACCCAAGAAAAGGCTGGTAGTGGCAGAAAGAACGAAATTCATGTCAACGAAACAGGAAATTGACGAACCAATTATAAAATATTTACACCGTCTACGAAATGCAAGTAGATATTGTGAATTTGAGAAACTCGGACAAGACGAACAGACCATTGAAGAGGACTTGATTCAATTAAGACTAATTGAAGGTATGTCCAATGCGTCACACCGATATAAAATATTGGAACAGTTACAAATAGGAAATATGTCTTTAAATGCTTGTATTGAATTTATGCAGCAACAAGAGCTAATACAGACATACCACCATTATAAAAGTCAACCCACCGAACAAAGATTCGCTGATACATACGCGTTAAACAAGATAAAAAAGTGTTCGTATTGTGGACGTGAACACGAAATGAAAAAGGAAAAGTGTCCAGCATTTGGGAAAACTTGTAATAATTGCTTAAAAAAGAACCACTTTCAAGCAGTGTGTAAATTAAAAAAGAAAAAAGTTGAAAGAGTTGAAGAAAACGACACCGACAGAGAAGTTTTTACTGTGAAAAATAAGACTATTGCACAGAAGAAAAATGACATTATAGTAAAGGTTAAAATTAATAACTGCAATTTAGATATGCAAATGGATACTGGGAGTGAAGTAACACTGATACCAAAAATTTTTGGGAACACATTGGTAAGCCACCTTTACGAAAAAGCAATTTACAACTCCGCCAGTTTGATGGGTCCGTTATAAAAATATTAGGATACTTTGAAGGTTCATTGGAGTTAAAAGAAAAATTTGAAGTAATTCCTGTAATTGTTACAAGTTGCAAGAAAAACCATGGCCTTATTGGAAATGACGTGCTTAATATGAATTCTACTAAGATAATTAATGAAATAAAAATGGAAAAAACTGGAAAGTTAAAAAACTATGAAGCAAGTATAAAAGTAAAAGAAAATGTTTCCCCCTCTTATTATGAGGCACGAAAATTACCAGTACATTTATTGCCGTTAGTAGTGACAAAACTACGTAAACTAGTAGAACAAGACCTTCTAGAACATGTTCCGCCTGGAGGTAGCAAGTGGGCATCACCGATTGTGGTTTTGAGGAAAACAGATGGTGATTTACGTATTTGTGGAGATTATAAAATAGGAGTAAATCACAAGATATGCTCAGATTCATATCCCATACCCAATGTGGAACTTGCATTACATGCACTGGCAGGGATGTCTGTTTTTTCAAAAATAGATTTAAAAACGGCATACCACCAAATACCAATAGACGAAAACTTCAAAGAAGTAACCACGATAAATACGCCAATAGGGTTACTAAGATGGAAAAGAATGCCATATGGTATAAAAACTGCAAGCGCCATATTTCAAAGGGCCATTGAACAGGTTTTAGGAAAGGTACAAAATATGGTTTGTTACCAAGACGACATATGCATAGGAGCTACTAATGAAAAGGAATTAAAAGAAAAAACTGATTTAGTCTTGAATAGATTAAGAAATGCTGGAATGACGATAAATGAAAAAAAATGCGTAAGCAATTCTAACAAAATATCTTTTTTAGGTTATTCCATTTCAAAAGAAGGTATATCACCAGACCAAGCATTGATAGAAAAAATATTAAAAGTAGCTACACCTTCAAATAAAAAAGAATTGGAGTCTTTTTGGGATTGGTAAATTTCTACAGGCGATATTTACCAAAATACACGGACTTGACGGAACCGTTTGCAAATTTAAGGAAAAAGAATGTAGAATTTATCTGGTCAGGCGAACAGCAGAAAGCTTTTGAAACATTAAAAGAAATAATGTCAAAGAAACCTGTAGTGAAAATTTTTGATCCAAAAAAGGACATAACACTCACTACAGATGCAAGTGAACATTCAATATCGGGAATATTATCACAAGAAGGACATCCGATAATGTATTTATCGAGAAGGTTAACGAACACTGAATTTAATTACTCGAACATAGAGAAAGAAGCATTGGCTATTGTGTGGACAACTATCAGAGCCCGACAATTTTTAATTGGAAAAAAATTTCTATTAAGAAGTGATCATAGACCATTAGAGTTTATATTTAACCCAAGGAAAGAATTACCCAAAGTCACGACATCAAGGATTCTACGATGGGCGATAAGATTGATGGCATTTGACTTTGATATAGAGTATGTCAAAGGAAATTCAATTCCACATGTGGACGCACTATCAAGATTGAGGTTTTACAAGGACTCAAAAGACAAAACGGAGGAAGAATTTGAAGATTCGTTCCTACACTTGATAGAGACTGATGTTTTGTCTTTAGACAGAATGGCTGTGGAAACGAGACATGATCCGGTGCTAAGTGGGGAAATTGTTCTAGGGCGAAAAGACCTTATAAAGAAATAAGGCACAAATTAACAATAGAACATGGAGTGATATGCAATGGGGACCTGGTAGTTCCCCCAGAAACACAAAGAAAGCCGATAATAGAAAGTGTACATAATGATATACACTGTGGAGTAGCGGCCACACAAAAAAGGATAAAACTAGAAGCTTGGTGGCCGGGTTATTCAAGAGACGTTGAGGATTATGTAAAGAGATGTAAAAAATGTAAAGAATTAAGAAACTTTACACAAGCCAAGTTACATTCATGGCCCAAAGAAGTGGAGCCATGGAGTAGGGTCCATATGGATCATGCATATGTAAATGGAGTGGGACTCTTATTAATATTAGTAGACTCTTTTTCAGGTTGGCCTGAAATAATAAGGGTTGCAAACAAGAAAAGTTCCACTATAAAGCAAATTCTAAGAGTCGTATTCTCTAGAAATGGTGTACCAAAAACCCTGGTATCGGATAATGCACCAGAATTTTGTGAGGAAGAACTTAACGTATGGTTAGAGAAAATAGGGTGTAAACCATATAAAACTCCTCCATACCACCCTCAATCAAATGGACTAGCAGAAAGGATGGTTCAGACCGTAAAAAAGGGGCTGAAAGCATGCTCTCAGCAAAAAGAAAAAGTAGAAGTTTTTCTACCGAGGATGCTTTTAAGTTATCGGACCATACCACACGCGGGAAGACTCAAAGCCCATCAGCTTTAATGGGGAGACAGATTAGAGCTCCGCTAACTATGTCATACTCTACAAGTGAAAAGATGTGGTATAAAAAGAGCAAGGATGCAGATCCAGAAGGAGCCGAGTTTATAATGCAAAAAGGCCATAATACAGCCATAATAAATAGAGAGAATGGCGATAGTGTGTTGGCCCATGCTGACCAAATAAGGACCCAGGGTGAAGAGGAAGAACGAAATGACGAAGAGATGTCAATTTCATCTGATAATGAGTTGGTAGAACAACCATTACAGAAGGAAACGTCAGAGGAAACAATGCAGGAGGAAGAGGGACAGAAGGACTCTGAAAGTTCAGATGAAGACCAGAGTATGCAAGAAAACACATGTGACTACAGCCTAGACCAGGACAGATCGAGGTCTCCCAGGGAAAGAAATACGGGAGAGAGAGAAATAGAGCAGAGTGAGGAAAATGGCAGAAGAAGGAGTACAAGATCTACGAGAGGGATAAAGCCCTTAAGGTTTAGGGAGATGTAGTGATACTAGCAAATTAGTATGCATAATTTGAATATTCTTATAAGTGGTCATGAGAATAACCACTATGCAGCTAAATTGGGAGAAGAAACAGATTAAACTTTTCAGAAAATGTCCCTTTTTTAATTTTTTGGAGAGTTGGAAGTTTCAACTATCATAGAGGACAGTTTAGAATCTTTTTTGGAATGAGAATTTAAATCCAGAAAAATTTTAAGATGTCCTTTGACTGTAGGAGATTGTTGATACTATATTGGTTGCTAGGGTCGCCCATGCAGCTAAATTGGGAGAAGAAACAGACCGGTAAACTTTAGAAAAATGTCCCTTTTTCCCTACACTTGAGGCATATCAACTATCATAGAGGACAGTAGAAACAGGAATGAGAATTAAGTCCAGAAAAAATTTACACTGAGTTGAGGCAGCAGTAGAAGGGTTTATGAAAGACTCTTGAACATCAAGACATGAGGCAGAGCAGAAACGAAAATATTTTAAGCAAGAAATGAAGTACCCAGGGTAAAGGAAAAATTACGAACCAGAGAGAGTTCCAAGGGAGCACCAACAATTCCAGATTGTAGGTAAGAAGCAGACTGCTTCTGTGTCATGTCCAATAAGAGGACCTGGTCATAAACTGTTGCCAAGTCTAAAGACTTATTTTTAAGCAATCTTTGTCTTATTTGTTGAGACAATACTGTGTTAATAAAGGTCTCCCTTATGAATTTATCCCAGGCTCGGTCCACTGTCAATGCCTCGAAGTTGCAGCCTGACTTAGTATCTTTAAAGCTTGTAAATAGTGATCTAAGTTTTCCTCTAGCTGAGAGAAGGTGGTGAGAAAAAATGGTATTTTTCCTTTTGACAAACATTCTCTACTGAAGAGTGTAATTAGATTAGTGTGGATACGAGTAGTATCCTTAATACCCAAGAACTTTTGGGAGAAAATAGGAAGACCAAAATTGAGGAGGACCTATCTGCTACTAAAACAATTTGATGAATCATTTATTAAAACAGATGCTTTAAGGAGATGTTCAATTCAAAGTAATACCAATCATAGTTGTGGAGTGCATAAAAGATCATGGTTTCCTGGGGACTGACATATTAAGAATAGACACCTCAAAGGCAATTAATTGCATGAAATTAGAACCTGAGATTGTACTTTTAAAGGATTACGAGGTGAGTGTTCGGCTCAAAGAGAAGAGCCAACCAGTATATTTTCAGTCTCATAAAGTTCCAGTTCACCTTCACCCCATGGTTATGACAAAACTTAATAAAATGTTTGAACAAGGAATATTGGAGAAGGTCAGCTAGGAAGGTAGCAATTGGGCCATATGCAAAATCAATCAAGATTTAAGGATTTGTGGTGACTACAAAGTTGATGTAAATCACCAGATATTTTCAGTCTCTTTCCTACTGCCAAATATTGAAACAGCTTATCACGAGTTTGCTGGCATTAAATTTTTTGCCAAGATTGATCTGGAATCTGCAAATATTCAGATTAAAATTGATGACCATTTTCAAATCACCATAATAAACACTTCTATAGATCTTCTAAGGTGGACTCTGCCGTTTAGAATTAAAACATCCAGTCATATATTCCAAAAGGCTATCGAGAAAGTTTTGAAAAGAGTAAAAACATCAAGATGACAGTGGTATTGGGGCTTGTACTGAGGAGGAGCTGAAGAATAAAACAGAACCAGTTCTGAGCAAATTGAGTAATGCTGGCATGACAATCAAGATAAATGTGAGTTTAATTGTGAGAAAATTTCATACTTAGGGTATCAAATAACTAAAAGATGGGAACTCGCCAGATGACAGACTTACTAAAATAGCAGAAATAAATACACCAAAAAAAATAAGGAAGAGTGTCTTTCTTGGGTTTGGCTAACTTTTACAATAAATATATACCTTAATATAGTGACATGATTGAACCTTTTGCAAACTTGAAAAAGAAGAATAATGAATTTCAGTGGACCGAAAGACAGGAGGTAGCCTTCAAAAAGCTAAAGGAAGCACTTAGAAACAAGCTAGTAGTTATGGTATTTAACCTGACAAAAGAATTCACACTAACTAGCAAACATACCATAGCAGTAATCTTATCACAAGAGGGACATCCTATTATGTATTTATCCAGAAAGTTGATGGCAACGGAGACAAATTATTCTAACATTGAAAAAGAAGCACTGGAAATTGTCTGGAGTACTGAAAGGGCACGCAATTTGTTATTGGGTAAAAAATTTCTACTAAAGTCAGACCACAAGCCCTTAAAGTTCATTTTCAATCCAAGGAAAGAGTTGCCTAAAGTCACGTTGTCCAGAATTTTGAAATGGGCAATTAAGCTTATGATATTCAATTTTGACATTATGTATAATAAAGGAAATGCCATTCCACACATAGACGCATTGTTAAGATTGAATTTTAATACTCAGAATGTTGAAACAAAGGACAGTTGTCAGGATAGAATTTTGTACTGGGCAGATGTGTTATCCTTCAGGCAGCTCAAGTTTGAAACTGAGCAGAATCCTTTATTAAAAAGAGTGCTGAATAGAATACAGAATAATATATGGAGAATTTGCTCTATGACAGAAAGACCTTCTAAGAAAGCAAGGCACAGATTAACAATTGAAAGAGGAGTCATACATAGTGGAGATCTTATTGTACCACCAAAATCATTAAGAAAAAATCTTATTAAAGCAGTACCTGATGACATACATGGTGGTGTATTGAACATACAATTAAGGTTGAAACTACAAACCTGGTGGCTGGGATATATGCAAGACCTGGAGGATCATGTCAGAAAATTCCCTAAGTGTGCAAAGAACTTTAAGCAAACCAAGATTCATTCATGGCCCAAATAAAAGGAGCCATGGACAAGGTGTCAGGTAATGCACCAGAGTTTGTTGAAGAAAGCTTGTGTTAATATGAATTGGATGTAGACCATACAAAACACCCCCATACCATCCTTAATCAAATGGAATTGTGGAGAGGATGGTCCAGACAATAAAAGTGGGACTGAAAGCATTCTCTCTAGGGAATTGCAGCCTAGAAAGTTATCTACCAAGGCTGCAAAACACATATCACCTCAGCATTGATGGGAAGGCAAATTAGAGCCTCAATAAACATGTCCTTCTCAACAAATGAGAATATAGGGTACAAACAGAATAAGGATTCGAATCCTGAGAAAGCACAATTTGTAGTACAAAAATGATTTAATACAGCACTATTAACAAAAAAATGGACAAGGTCTGTGATGTAATGGAATAACCTGTCACCCTCATGAGTGACTACACTATAGGTAGTAACTACCTATAAGTATCTGTAAATCAATGAACTACAACATCTATCTGGAATCTGTTGAGTACGACTCAGACCTACGCAAGAAATACCGACCTTCCAGCACTCACTACTGGATTGACTTGTGACAACCTTGTGCATAACTGTTACTTTTATTCTTATTGTACTGGTTTTACAATAAATCTTTACTAATTTTATCCACCGTGTTTTCAAAGTATATATTCCTATTAGCACGGAATATAAGAGTCTGTTAGCTCATGAAGACCAGTTTTGATTGCAAAGAGAATCAAGAGATATTGAAATGGAGGAAGAACCTGGTGCAGAATAGAGTAATCAGGATTATCATCAATAATTGAAGATTGAGGGGGAAGAGAGAATGAGTGTGTCTAGTGATAATGAGGAACATGAGGAAGATTTGAATGAAGAAAATCTGTAAAACTGAGATCCCCCACAAAGAGGAATCTAGGCAATCACACTGAGACGAGCAGTATACCTCCAGGAGTGGTTTGTAAAAGTCGAAGATCTACCAAGGGCATAAAGGGTTGATATGCAAATGAGGTTGTATATAAGTGGGATGAGTTCTATATTTGGGAGGTAGTTATCTTTCCTTGACAATACTGCGTACTTGTGAGAACAAGTACATGACAAAAATTAGTTTTATTATAGTTTAGTTTAGAGTTTATTTAGTTTAGTATACTTCATACAAATTAGGTTTATTTTTTTCTCATCTATGACAAGTGTGTTAATTTGGCCTGTTTGTACAGTTGTGTAATTTTTTAATAAACAGTTGTTTTATATAAGACAACTATTTGCTGTTTATAAGAAGTTATTTACACTTTACAGATACTTAATCTATTTATTTAAATATAAAGGAAAATCATCAAAATTTACCTGAAGCTGCTAGAAAGTTAATGTCATGTCCAGCAGTCTGGGACATTGATCCATTTTGTCCAAAACCAGATAATCGAGTGTAAATAAGACAAGGATTTAGTGACATCAAATTCTGGGGGCCCAACCCTAAATTCTCCATCACACCTGGGAACAGAAAAAAAAAGCAAAAATTACTTTTTTTTCATATTTAAATAACAAAATATGAATTGGAACTTTGATGCCTGTCAAAAAAATAAAATAAAAGGTTTTAAGATTTTTCGTTCTCTAAGCTTACTATTTTTATATTTTTTTCTTTTTTTATTTCTTTTTTTTTTTCACTCATTTTCGGGTAATAAAAACACAAAAGGATCAAATGTGTAGACATTAACATCACAATAATTTACATTTATTGCAATAAAAGGTATTCAAATAACTTATTTTCTACATATTTGTTGTAATAATTAAATCACATTTTATTACACAATGGACTTTATACAATAGTATAATTGTTGTCAAAACTAGATAGTTTGAAAGAAAAGATATTACCAAAATACATTGATATGTATAAGAAAAAATAAAAAACTAATTTGATTATATTACAAATGTAATAATAATTATTACAATATATTCTTGTTAACAAAACATGAATATCTGTCTATATTTTTTTAAATGAATTCAAACAATGTAAATAGTCACATATTTACATTGTTTTCTGGACATACACTACAGCCTTCTTCATGTTGGAATTTTGAACTGAACTCTTTAGTCCACGGAGATAGGTTATTTTAATTCAACATGCCATAACTTTTCTGGATGTTTTAGTTAATTCCTTTTAGTAACTCAACTCTCCAAGTTTTTGTTCACTTCTGTTGTGGCCAGGTATTGAATTCACATCTCTTTGGGTCAAGTCACTTTTGGATTACTTCAATCAACACTTTTATCCACTGGGCCCTGTGTCCTTGGGGATTTTTTTTTTTTTGACTTATAAACCTAATATCTCAGTAACCATTTTTACAATTTTTGTTATTGTTGTTTTCCTCTATTACTGGTTCCCATATTGTATTCATATCTATGCTAGGCCTATCTTATGTGCTGATCCCCTAAGTTTTTGTATTTTCCAGTTCTCTGTCTATTATTTCAACCTCATCCCACAGAGCGATGCTCTCCCTTCTCCCATGCCCGATTTTTCTATTCCTCCTCATATTATGGCTTTATGGTGTTCCTGCAATCTTATCTTAAAGGAGCAACCCATTTCTCCTTTATATTTTTTGCCACAGTTGCATGCAGCCCTTAATCACATTGGTGATATGGTAGGTCTTTCTTAGAAGAGGTATCTGCATAGTGTTTCCGAGTGTTGTTATCCTCCAGTTTATGGGAGCTGCTGTCATGTACCCAGGATAGTTGTCGCATTGTAGGGTACTGCTTATATTGACCATTTCTTGTTCATATGTCTCTGGGTAGCCACTTATGACTTCTCAGCAAACGATCTCTTTCTTTACACTGTATGGGTGGTGGGAATTTAAGTTGAGGTATTGTCTGGTAAATGTTAGCTTTGAGTATATGAATATCTTGAACCCATGCTCTGTTCAAGATATTAGTATATCCAGGAATGTAAGTTTGTTGTTTTCTCTCTCCATTGGGAACTGTATTGAGTTCACATGGTCCAGTAATATCTGGATCTCTTCCTGGTGTGGCCAGAATATGACAGTGTTATCTACATATCTCAGCCATAGAGTTGGCTTTAGTGATATTGATTCTAATGCTATTTCCTCAAAGTGTTCCACATATATGTTAGGCATTGCTGATGATAATAGCAAGCCTATATGTCTGATCCCATGAAGTAGTATTTTTAATTCAATCTGTTTAAAAAAAAGAGTTACAAACAAAAATTATGTATGAAAATGCCTATATGCATTCAAAATTTGTATTTCTATACTGAAAAAAAGAAAGACAGTAAGATATAGGAACACAGAGACTGAAGTACTTTCTAGAAAGTAAAATTCTACTATCAGAAATTTTAATTTTGTGAGACAATATTTATTATTTCTACAAAGTGGTTTGCAAGCCTTACCTGGTCGAAAAGGTTCAATGAGTACATCAAACTTTTTACACATTCTCTTGACAATTTCTGTACTTAGAGGATGTTTCAAATCAATTTTCACAGACTGCTTCCCACGACAAAGAACATCACGGGTAAATCCAGCATTCATCTGAAAGTTTAAAATACATATATAATTGCTTGTTCTTTTTTAATAGGTTATATTTACTATGTGTGGAAAAGGGTTGAAAGTTTTGTGGACCACCAGGGATCTCTTCCCACTACTATTAAATGGAGAAAACTGGTTAGTCAATGTCAAACAATGGACAGGTATGACTATACCAGAATTGATAGACTGTTGTGAAGGAGATTCAGTGTGGCTTCTGCATTCAGATCCCCCCTACGATTACAAAAGTCAAAGGAATGATGATGATGATGAATTACTATGATCTATATTTAGATCATAAGTAATACACAATATGGAAACTGATAAATTATAATTATTATATAAGAATTACATACTGTCTCTATAAACTGATAACATCTCACACTTTTGTTAAGTTTTTGATCTATTACACAGTATTCAATAAAATTTATTTAAATTGGTGTATATCTTTTTTAAATAATTCTTCTGTGTTATATATATATATATATATATATATTTACTTATTTATTTATTTAAACATTATTTTTAAAATGGATTATCTTATTTGAGTAGATGCTCTGTTTTTATTTATTTATTTATTAAACAGTATATTTATTTACATCTTAGTGACCTGAATATTTGAGAAATCTTGATAGAAAATATGCATTCTCTGGCAGGTTTCAAACCTGCATCCCCTAAGGGAAACCATCATTAGATCATTAGGTCCAACTCAGCCATATAGGATATCCTGGTCAAACAAAACTCAAATAGTACTTTTGAATACACATCTTCTTCTCAAATCTCAATATATGCATCTGTTTTGTATAATAATGAAGGATGCATATTTGTATCAAGATTTCTCAAATATTCAGGTCACTAAGATGTAAATAATTAAATGAAAACAGAACATCTACTCAAATTCAATTATCCATTTAAAAAATAACTTTTAAACAAATAAATTAAATAATCTGCTGGATTTACTCCATTTCATATGATATATATATATATATATATATATATATATATATAATTATTTATTTAAAAATATGATTCCAAATAAGGTATTTAAATCTGATGATGCCTACAAAAAACCGTTAACTCGTGTCTATTATTTAATAGATTATTATTATTTAGAAGTTTAATAATGTGCAATTGCGATTTTTGGTTTGAATTATTAGATAAAAAAATTTATATAACTTGTTTAACAAATAGCCCAATCATCAGATTCATAGTAGGAATAATTAACTACAAACATGCATACAACATAACACACTTCATAATCCATAGCCTAAATTAGTAGTTTAAATACCTTACATATAAGATAACCCTTTATGAAGTCATCAAAAAAAAAACGTTATAAAAGTTTTTTTTTTTTTTTATATGCACAATTCCCTTTCATAATAAAATAAAATAAAATAAAATAAATAAATTATCCATAGACAAGCAAACTAGACGATGGCCAATACATCTTCCGTTTCATTTTTGACACCCCCACCTTTCCCCGACTTGACACCTTGAAAGTATCTCTATACCTTTTTTACTTATTATAAAAAACCCTACACTCACCTACCCAATTTAGACAATTCACCATAGCTGTTACCATGGGGATTTTGATTTCAATTTTAAAACAAGTAAATTTCAGATATACGTTATTCCAACAAAAATTTCGCTTGAAGATGGAATCTGAGCCCATTTTACTTTCAACTCAATTTAATTTAAAGGATTATATTGAAGTTTTTTCAAAATCTTGTTTTGAAACATGAGACCTCTTATGTAGCGATTTGGAATCATATTTTTAAATAAATAATTATATTTATGCTCTACTTTTGTATCGAGCACTATTTTTTAAAAATAATAACTAAAATACTAAGGGACTTTGGATTATTTACCTAACCAGTTCCTTCCTATTTTCTATATATTTTCACATATATATATATATATATATATATATATATATATATATATATATATATATATATGAGAGAGAGATTTTCTTAACAAAATGTAGTAATCTGCCAAAAACGGCTGTGGTAATCCCAAGGGTCTATCCTGGTCAACATGGCACCAAATCTACCACTTTGTACCCAGCTCCTCAACCTCCAGCGTCTTCCTCTTTGGGTTGAGGTGTCCACTCAGTCCGAACTGAACTTAGGGGTAACTGGCCATACGCTCCCTGAGTACCCGTAGATTATTTCAACCGGTCGACTGATCAAGTCCTGCTTGCTGCCCACGCTGTGTTAGTTTTTAGATCAAGTAAGCGGGGTGTTGTCCATATGTTCACGGTCGACTGGAGTGTGGACACAGCTGTGAGAGTTGGCGGTAGGAAGTTTTAGAATGTGACAAAATAAAACAAAAATCATATCTGCAAAAGAAGCAGACAACAATGGGGGAAATATTGACATTTTTATATAAGAAGATAACATCAGAACAGAGGTTAAAAAGGAGAATAAAAACATTTAACATAAATGAGAAAAGAAAAGGACACAATGCATCCAGCTGCAATTCCCAACAGAGAGGGCGGGTTTTTGTACCAATAATAAATGCTCCCTTTGAATTGCCTGAGGTAGGTTTATGACCAGTAGTCCAGTCTCTAATTCTCCGCAAAATCTCTCATGACTTTTCTTGACGACAGTCTCGTTCTCTTTCTCCGTCTTTTTTAGCACCACGACCTGTAATGGTTGCCTGTGGGTTTCACGATTTGACGACGATGTGCCATTTTTTAACGATCTCTCTCTCCCGTCTGGCCTCTTCCGTCTTGCTCGGCTATCTGCTTGTAGCATTATGACCCGTAATGGTCACCTGTATTTGCTCACATTATTGAAGGATTTTTTTAATGTATTTATCGATCAAGGTCTCCCATCTGGCTCTTCCGTCTCTTTCACCGTCTGCCTTTTTTTTCAGCATAATTACCCTGCTTTATATAGATAAATCTGTTTGATCATGAATCGATTAAATAGCCCCGCATATTACATTATCATGAGTGCCAAAAACTATCCCTTGACATGTAAACCGATTCTCCAATTATTTACCACAAGTTCTTCTAAAACAATCCCAAAATTATACTTTAGGATATCTAAACATTGATTCAACCTTTTAATCAAAACAAATACTGTTAAACAAAACCAAATATCTCGTAGCCTGAGTAAGCTCTATTTCAATTTTTAACCCATAAAATTTATTTAGATTATTCCCATTGTTTTTTCAACAACCAAATTCCAAAGGCAAGATCAGATTTCCTCATCAGTAAGCAAAACGCTCTGATCTAGTTTCACTAGCTAGATTCATTCCAATTTCAATAAAAAAATATGTGTGTGTGTGTGCTTATGTGGATGTGTGTTCATATACCTCTCTCCTGTTACAATAATACAATTAATAAAAGTGCAAAAGAATGTTCACTTAAATTCATAGTTTCATGGGAAGGACTAAAATTGATTTCTGATTGTACTCAACTATACTTGCAATGCTATTAATGAATGCATAAAATATATTACATAAGCAGTCTTCGCCCAGTCGCTATCGCTTCACAAAGTAAGATATATCCACTACTTGAAATCTTTAAACAAAAATTTTAAATGAACATTTCATTCATAAATTGGCTTGGTATAGTTAAGGAAAGTTTTACAAATATATGCCAACTTGTTGAAGGCCAAGTAAAATGCAAATTTCAAACACTTTTCTACACTATATAAGACGATATTCCTAAACAGAACTACTTTTGATATTAAAATCAAAACAATCCTGAAATAAAAGAACAGTAATGAAGGACAGTTAATTAATGAAATAAACTTTTTTAACATCAATATGCAAACTAATTAAACCTTAAGAGTGATATTGCCTAGAAGTAGATAATACGTAATATGGATATTGAGCTTTTAGCATATGTAAATTTCTCTCTAGAGTAGTTTGTAACACCCTATTTATGATCTTTCAGTTGTGCGTCTGTCTTTGGTCAGAGTGCATTCAGGGACAGTTCCATCAAAGAACAGAGTCGCAACTGAGGAAAATTATACTGAGAGGTGCTCAGCCCTGGGGAACAGCTGCCCTCTCATTGCACCAGAGAGAGGGTTCAATGCTCGCACCATTGTCAGTGCAACCATCAGTTGCGGGGGCTCAGGGAATATTTGTTCCTAGCCCGGGGGTACATGCTCAGGCTCCCTACATCAAACTGACCTGGGGCTTTTTAATCTCAGAATTTGTGGGAGAATTGAGCTCCAATTTTGCATTTATTCATATAGATTCCATAATATAGGTTTTACTTAATTAGCTATTATGTCTCTCTAACTTTCAAATGTTGAATGTATAACTAATTATAATTTCTATTTTCCCATCTTTACACTATATTAATTTTATCTTATAAATTGTCCTGTTCTGTCACCCATGAAATAAAAATAATTGTTTGTATGGAAAATAAAGATCTACGTATATCAAATTGTCTTTAAATTAAGTTGGCAGCAGAAGAATTATCATTGAACTTTTAAAAGGTAAGCTTAAATGCTAATTCAGTACTTAAATGCAGCAATCAATTTTGAGTTCTTCTGTAGTTTATTGATGCCTATCACATCTACTCTTCTCTAGCTATTATGATGATGGCTAAACCAAGAGAACTCCACAAGAGCTAGTTTAAAATAAAACGTGCACCACAATTTGGGATACAAAAGGAAAATAAGAGTTACTCCCCTTGAACTATGAAAGCCACAATAATGGCTAGTATAATATATTAATATATATTTTTAACCTCACATGAATTCATCCAGGATTGGACAATAAAGTGCCAAGAAGATTCGCATGGTATGTAGTTTGGAAGATGGAAAAAATTGTAACTGATGGAAGGTACACAAGTCAATACCCAATCTGGGAAACTGTGAATTAATTGTTAATGTTAAAAGACACAAAACCCCTAATAAACTTTGGCTAGAAACATCACTGATGATGTGTACCAAAGCACCCAATAGATGTATTTTACAAAATGGCAACACTGAATCCTATGCTCAACGAAAATCATTCCCTGTGACTAAAGCTTCTAGGGCTTTTGAATGAGCTATGAATTATTGAAATCGGACCAGTGGGAGTAGAGAAGTTGCTTAGATACACACACATACACAGTACTTTATATATAATATAAATTATGCATATAAACTAGTAGAAATTTATTTATTTTGTAGTCAATGAAGAATATAAAGTTTTAATCTGGATAACACAAGATGATTATGAACAAAAACTTAGTAAAAACACTTGGAAAAATGATAAACAAAGTCTTTGACAACAGTTGTCTAGAGCAAACATCCTCTACACTTTTTAATGTCTTATTTTTATTAATTTGTTTAATTCTGTATCTTCAATTTCCTACAATTTGGAAGTCAGTTATCTTTGCAAAAGAAACTGCATTCTAAAACACTCCATCATATTATATCCACAAATGTACAAAATTTACAACTCTTTACCCGATCAACTCGAACAACTCTAGCTCCAAAATCCGCCAAGATAAAGCCACAAAAAGGTGCAGGAGCAAGTCCAGCAAATTCTATTATGTTTATTCCTTTGAGAGCCATCAGTCTGAAAGAAAGAAAACCAAAACAAAAATTAATACACCATATTTGAAAACATGAAAAATGTTTAGCATATGAATGTTTCAGTTCCACACAAAAACATGAATGGATGAATTTTTTTATTTACTCCATTTGTAAAGTTTTGCATAGTTTTAAATTTTAAACAAATCCACTCACTAATACACAATTATACACATATATTTTGAAATTTAAGTATTTCATTTTTTGCACAAGATTTTGATTATTGCTGGCCTTGTTTTGATGATCAAATGAAGGCATTTACAGCTAAACCCATTTAGCGGAAAGGGATGTTTCAGAGACTAGAGAAAGAAAGGGCAAATAATCCCTCAAATACTTCAAACGAAGAAGACAATAACACTGAGAAAATTTTAAATTAATAACAACAATGGTAACAAGTGAAAGAGAAAAGCTGTTCTTAGAATGGGTTTGTAAAGTCTAGAGAAATAAAATTTGAGTAAATAAATGTTGGTGTATGCACAAATATGTGAGTGTGGGTGTAATATATGTAGTTGTGAAGACATATATGTACATGTGTAAGCATATATTTATGGATAGAAGTAACTTACTTAGGAAGTTACTTTTACTGTGGACGATGCAGTTAGGTGATTGAGCAAATATTATCTTGCTTGGATCGATCTCTCTGTATAGTATGATTGCCCAAATAAGGCAGCTTTCTTCAGCATGGTGCAAGTGTGTGCTTGCTGCAGATATCCCCTACAAGTGGCTTTTGGTATGTTCTTATATAGGACAGAGATACACTCCAAATAAAGGTAACAATTTAATATTTTTTGTCGTGTTCCTATTGACTGAGAATGGTCATGTGGTGTGCTTACTGTTACATCCACAACATCAAGTCTGCTTTTGTGTCTATTTTTAGACTTAATGAAATTGTAGTTGTAGAGGAAATTATTTTTTTATCAAGAATTTAAAGACATGTTAACAGATTTTTATTGTATTTTCAAGAAGTGTGAACAAATTTCCAATTTGTTAAAATTGACAAATAAATAAAAGAGATTAATAACAAAGTGCAATGGATCTCCATCATTACCATAATAAATATTTATTATCATCTTACACTGGATCAAAAACCTACCAAATTACAAATTAATATTTATTTACACTATTTACATTTTTGGCCACATCTATATTGCCATATTCACAACATTTCACCCGTTTTACACTCCAGCCTTCTTCGGGTGATATTAGTTGAAATTCAAACCTAACCCTTTAATCCCTGGGGTTAGATTGTTCTAATTCTATGTACTGTCGGGAGACCACAGTTGTTTTCCCTTGGGTTGAGCTCATGGGAGTTTTGGCCCCTTTTAGAGAGTAGAACTCTTCTGTCCTTTTTGTCTTTGCTTCCGTTTTTTGGAGGAACGGCCTCTTTACCTTCCTGACCACCAGGGTGTCCACACATGGGGAAACTGGTCAACATGTGCATGGCCTAGCGAAAGAAAAAAGTACTTTCTATTCACTTATCTGTGGGCGATCAAAGGCCATAAAGTTGGTATGTTATTTCTTTGTTCTAATTCTGTAAACTTCCTCGTTCCTTTGGGACAATATGGACAATCATTTGTTTTGGGACATTGTAAATCTTTTTAATATATGTACACAAGTTGTTTGCCTTATTAAATGTTTTGTTTGTTATGCTCGCGTATTTTGTCTTTCTATATTCGTATTCAGTGTTAGTGTAACAATGGCTACACTAATGCTAATATTAGTATCGGTGTGCTACTGGAAGGCTAAAAACACGTTATTCTTCCTAACACAAAATAGTCGGTAAACTCTGTGTGGCAGATACCACCATACTAATAGTACCATGCCTTTTGATAGCTCAGTTTCAGTTAATTCCCCTTGGTAACTCAACTCTCCAAGTTTTTGTTCCTTCTACTGTAGCCATGTAATGAAATCACAACTCTTTGAGTCAAGTCACTTTTTGGATCACTCAACTAACACTTTTATCCACTGAATCATGCATCCTTGGGGTCATCAGTGAGTGAATTTTGGGGACTTATAAACCTAATGTCTCAGTAAACATTTTTTTACAAATTTCTTCCCTACCTCTCTGTATTACTGGTTCCCATATTGTATTCATATCTATGCTTAGCCTTTGTAGCCTTGCAAATGTGCTGATTCTTTAAGTTTTCGCCTTTTCCACTGATGTTTGCTCAACTTTATCTGACGGAGAGTGGTGACCTCCCTTGTGCCAAAAATCAGCATCCTGTTCTTCAGATTTTTAATTTTTATATGGAAATATGAAAATCAGCAATATTTTGTGCAGATTTTGACATTTTATGTGAAAATCTGCTGTAAGTTCTTCAGATTTGAACATTTTGAAATATTGTAGATTTTCATCTTAAAGATGAAAATTGGCAATATTTTAAAAGTTTTACTATTTTTATATAGAAATATGAAATACAGCATTATTTTTTATTCAGATTATGACATTTTATACAGAAATATAAAAATCAGTTGGATTTAATTATTTTATTCAGAACATGAAAAACAACAATATTTTATTTAGATGTGGACATTTTTTATAAGGAAATATGAAAATCAGCAATATTTTATTCAGATTTTGGTATTTTATATAGAAGTATATAGATATGAAACCCTTTAATATTGTTTTTAGATTTGGACATTTTAGAAAGAAAAGAGAAAATCAGCAATATTATAATTAAATTTTGACATTTTAAATGGAAATAGGAAAATCGGCAATATTTTATTCAGATTTTGACTTTTTTATATAGAAATATGATAAATCAACAAAAATTTTGTTCAGATTTTAAATTTTTGTAGAGAAATATGAAAATCAGATATATTTCAGGCAGTTTGATGTTTTTATATAGAAATATGAAAATCAGCAATATTTTCTTCAGATTTTTTTTATACAGATATATGAATATCAGCTATGATTCCCTAGGTTTTGACATTTTTCATATGTTGATGATTTTATATGATAACATGAAAATCTGCTATATTTTCTTTAGATTTCGACATTTTAATACAAATATGATAACTCAGCAATATTTTATTTAGAATTTGACATTTTATATGGACATTTTTTATATAGCAATATGAAAATCTACTATACTTTCAGATTTTGACTTTTCCACATAGAAATATGCAAAACAGCTTTATTTTATACAGATTCTGACTTTTATATATAGAAATATGAAAATCTACAAAGTTTTCTTCAGATTTTTACTTTTCTGTATAGAAAAATCAGCAATATCTTTGACACTTTTTTATACACAGATATTAAAAATCAACATTTTGTTCATATTCTGACTTTTTTTATAGAGAAATTTAAAAATCAGACATATTTTATTAACATTGACATTTTTATATAAAATTTTGAAAATCAATATTTTATACAAATTTTGAATTTTATATAGAAACATGAAAATCTTCATTTTCTTTAGATTTTGACTTTTCTATATTGAAATATAAAAGACAGCATTGTTTTATTCAGATTTTGACATTTTTATATACAAATATGAAAATCAGCTATATTTTCTTCAGATGTTGACATTTGTATATAGAAATCTGATTATAACCCCTTTACAACTGCCTACACCCAATGATGTGACCACGTTTAGTGGTCCAGTCCTCAGGATCTTAGGACTACATTTTATCCACAGACACTGACACTGGTCCAAGATGGCTGTTGGGCGCTTACCATACCAACTCTGCCCACATTGTGTTCTTGATCTCAAGTTCTTGGCAAAACAAAAATTAACCCTTCCAGTATCAATTACTACTGGGAACGTCTAAAATTCTGGAGAAGCTGGATTCAAAGTTCTTCAGAGTCAGGAGATCTGGTGGCAGCTGATGTGGACTCCAGAAGAACTTGATGCATGATTCACAGCACAAGTCCTTCAGCACACAAAACTATCTGTTTATATGCACTTCAGCCCAAAACCAGTGTGGATTCAGAGAGTTCTTGTGATTTGGTGATTCCCCAATTTTCACATTAATCCCAACAAGGGTTCTTTGTTCCCTATGTCTGCTTTCTTAATCAACTTTCCAAATTTGGAGAATTATCCATCATCTTTGAGATTATTCACAGGGATTGGTCCTCCGTTCAAATCCAGCTTATTTCACTTTACATCTCATACCATTAATCCATACAGGTGGTGCTAAATTCTCCTCCTTCCACCTATCCTCTTCATGGCATCAGCATCACAGGATAATCAGTTATATTTTCTATAGATTTGGACTATTAGATATAGAAATATGAAAATCTGGTATAGTTCAGAAATATGAGAAACAGCAATATTTTATACATATTTTGACACACAACTTTTTCAGGAAAATATGAAAATCTGCTATATTTTCTTCAGATTTTGACATTTTTATATAAAAATATGAAAATCAGCAACATTTTATTCATATATTGACATTTTCATATAGAAATTTGAAAACCAGCTATATTTCATTCAGATTTTAACATTTTTATATAGAAACAAGAAAAGTGAGCTATATTATATTCATAGACATTTTTATGTAGAAATATGAAAATCAACATTTTATTGATTTTTATGGAAATAGCAATATTTTATTCAGACTTTGAATTTCTGTATAGAAATGACAAAAGCAGCAACATTTTATTCAGGTTTTCACATTTTTATATGGAAATATGAAAATCAGCTATATTTTCTTCATCTTTTGATATTGCTATATAGAAATATTCAGACTATGACTTTTATATAGAAATATGACAAAAGAGCCATATCTTATTTAGATTTTTACATTTATATGGAAATATGAAAATCAGCCATTTTATACAGATTTGTCATTTTTATATGGAATCTGAAAATCTGCCATATTTTCATCTGATTTTGAATTTTTCTTCAGATATATGAAAATCAAATACATTTTATTCAGATTTTGATTATTTTTATATAGAAATCTGAAAATCAGCTCTATTTTCTTAATATTTTGACAGGTTTTATATAGAAATATGAAAAATCTGAAATATTT